TAATTTAATGCTCCTCGAGTTAAAAGCCGTTTCTCCCCTGCGTTCGATATTTTATCCGCTTCAACTATCGCCGCTCGTACCGGCCGGTATCGCGCGATATACTTTTATTACCTGCCCCGAGATCTCGCGCGAAGGATGTTCTCCCTTTATTGTTTCGTCTGTCATTCGCTGCGATTCTTTACGCGTCCCCTCCCCTCCCCCTTGCGCTACCCCCTCTACGTTTCACACCATTGACCGAGATTTTATTTCACCTCCTACTAGGGCTGCTTCGTCGCTTCCGTCGCCTCGTTCGCTGTTATTCGCATTTTTTTGTCCTCGTACCCTCGCTACCCGTGAGTCCCTTCGTATATTTTCAAGCCCGGGCCGCGCGTCCGTCTCAATTAACGTTCGATATCGTTTAATTAAATTAGCCGCTTAATCTTTCGTCCGCTCTCATTACTATCTAATATTTCATCCGACGCCGCAGAGAGCGCTGTCCGATCGCGTTAAATTATTATTACTGCTGTCCGATTCGGCGCTTATATGCCCGGCTGCAGTTTGATTTTTCACTCGGATACTACACCGGCAGTATTTTAGCCCGTTTTGTTTCGCATGCCCGTTATACCGCATGTGTTTCCGTCCATTTTATGGCTGTCTCATCTCTTTTGTCTACTTTAAATACCGGTTGACCTTTTATGCGTTTTAACTACTGTTCGATTTTCGTTTACTTTACCGGCGGGCGCTCGCTCGCTCGTTCATCTACTTCGATTACTCTTCGCTCATTTATCTAATTTAACGATCGTTAAATGTTTCGTCTGTTTCCGAAAGCGCTCGCTCGCGGAATCCGGCTAACGGATTTATCAGATATTGCGTTCGTATTCATTACGCGATATTGTTTGCTTATTTGTCCCTTTTAATTACCGTGTACGAACGTATTTTCATTATCGTTACAATCGTGTTGCAACATGTAACGCGATAATAGCGACGTAATGACATCGTGATGAGCGAAAATACGACGTGTGTCATAACATCTTTTCCTATGCGAGGATTATGACATTATCGTGTTATTTGGAATCGACACCGGCTCTCGCGAAGCCAACCTGTGCATGAAAGCTCGCTTAGGCCGCGCATTGTTGCGCCGGTCATGTTTACGCTCCTCACTATTTCGCTGTAAACTAATCGCGGGGATTAGCGTCTTTCATTTTCATCTTTGAAACGCCGGTATAAAAGCGTAGTATGCAAACGAGGTTTGTCTGCTTAACGACTTTACTGGTTTATACAAGTTGTACAACGTATGATACAATTTCGGCTCTAATCTCTTTAACCCCCGCGCGCCCGGGGACGTTCCTTCGGGATAAATCGTGATGAACGGGACAAAAATACATCGCAAACTCGGTATCTGGAGTTACCGCGGCATTCTCACACACGGGCGGTGCGTGCGAATAATTACGGCGCGCGATAAATTAACGCGGCAAGAAGTTTCAGCCGATTGGATGTTCGCTTCGAAATCCTCTGACGGGCGAATTTTTCATCAAATTCGTAGTCCGATTAATTTTAAGGCTCCACCTCGTCCTGGCGTCTCCATTTGAATTCTAATTACTTTATTACACCCTCCGGGCCGATTGTTCTACAACCGGATGAGTTTAATTATTTCAAACAAATGTATAAATTGTTACATTCGAATTTCGAGCGCTTTTACTTTGAATCCTTGCTTTTGACAACTGAAATCGAGGCCGGTGTTTCGAAGTAATTAAACGTTCGGTTTCGCGTTACCGGTTGAATTTCTCGTTCCATTGAATTCGTTGATTTTATCCGCAGTCAACAGCTGCTGTGAATCGCCGATACATCGAACGCCGTTAAGAGCTTTCTCTTTTTTGCTTAACAAATTTTTCCCGTCAATCATTCTGCGGGGACAAAACGAAGGACGGTTGAAAAGCATCGGGGGGAGGGAGGGGAGGGGGGGGGGCATTTTATTGCGACGTAACATTGATATAAATCGAACAAACGTGCGGACGAACGAACAAAGCGCTCCATCCTTAGCTAAGTTTACAAATTATTTACAAGTCGATATGTTTCCCCGTCGTGGAACGACGGTAACATACACGCGCACTTGTGCGCGTGGGCAAATGTAACAACCATATTTTTCGGCGCAAAATATCGGTAGTATTTCGTCGGGGATGCGATTTTGAATAAAAGATACCTCCGAAATGTTCTGAATTGGGGATATCCCCGAAATGGAGTTCTGAATGGAGGATACCTCCGAAATACAGTTTTGTATAAAAGGTATTTCCTCGATATAATTGCAAATATAAATAAATGAAACGGGTTCCGCGCGAGCTGTCGCGATAAATCAGGATTAAATTAAGGAGAGCGCACGCGCAGCACGCACAAACACAAAATATCGCATCGAGAGCTCTCGCACCTGTCAAACTCGTCCGAGTGTCAGATTAGTTCGTGACAGCAAGAGTGAGTCGAGAGGGAAGCCGGAGAAAGAGAGAAAGAGGGAAGGAGATTCGATGAAGTATCTCTCCCATACCCGAATAAAATATCCCCGGCTTCCCACACCGTGGCAAATTTCGCACCGTGCATCATCCGTGAGGATGACATGATGAGCCGCAACATCTCAGCCGCAGGCGCTCGAATGACCGAAGAAGCTCGAGGAGGGTGGCGTGAGGAAACGCGGTAAACTAGGGAAGTTCGCTCTCTCGTGACGCGAGAGAGAGAGAGAGAGAGAGGCGACCTGGGAGGGAAAGAGGAAATACACAGAGCAGGGTCGGTTAGGCGAAGGGTTGACGGCGCGGGAAGGAGAGAGAGAAGATGTTCTTATGGCTGGTGGGAAATTTAATCGGCACGGGACGGCGAAATTACCGAGGCAAGGAAACTTGGCCGCGACAAAGTGCGAAACTTAACCGCACCACCCTAATGACTGCCAGCGAGCGCTAAGTGGATCGCGCGCGACGATAAATCGAGAGGGTTACGCGGAAAGAGATCATTTCGAGGAAGTAAGAGAGAGAGAGAGAGAGGAAGAAAGAAAGAGAGCAACTCGACTCGATGAAATGTGATAAATCTTTTTTTCTACCGCGAACATAATAAAAGCGCGAGAATCTGCACTCTCCCTCTCTCTGTCTCTCTCTCTCTCTTTTTCTTCGAAAGGGAATAAGACGAAGAGACAATGGATTCGAGAAGCGTTTCGCCAAGGGTCCTTGCTACGGGCTGTTTAAGGAGAGATTGTGAGGTGAAACGAGTTTGATGAAACTTGCACTACGTATATTAAAATATTACCTAACTATATAACGTAAATATTTCAATTCACTTCCAACATCAGTTTGCTCCGCTGAAAAGTTTGGCGCGTTTCGTTTAGTCGTTATTAAATATGTTGTTTCCTGGAATTAAAATTATCTATTATAGTATAACTATTTCTAATATAAGATATACATATATATATATATATATATATAATTATATAATTCTTTCTATTATCTATGTATTTCTATTAGACCAACTAACGTATATACTAAATATAAAACATTTTATGTAAATAAAGATCTATTGAAATTTTTGTATTAATTTAACAAGGTGAAATTTTTGCATTAATTTAACAAGGTGAATACAGTATACATTTAATTAACAAGGTGAATACAGTAAAAAATAATATGTTAACGGAAAATAAATATGTTCACTTAATATGTATTTATACTTGTTAATATATTCCCGTGTTAAAACAACAGAGAAATTCCAGTAGACCGTGATTTATACGAAATTGTTTGCAACGTTCTCGTTTGCAACGAGAAAAATAAAAATATAGTAAAACGTTCGTATTTGTAATATCGAGCGTATATGTTTACCCTCGATTTCTTTTCAAATCTTTCATTTCAGTATCTAGTTAATAGGCACATTTATTATTTAGGTAGTGAAAATAATGTACAAGAACGTGATATTGCTTGACGAATACGAAATTTGCTCCTTTGATATGCTACTGAAGATACGACTCTCTAAGTCTTACCATCTCTTTAACGCGAGCAACAGGAACGTTTAATCTAACGATAACACGAGATGAGCAAAATACGCGGATCCCCGCGCGGTATTCGACGTAGCATCCAAGTACGACGAGATCGGTTAATACGATTTACGCACCATCGTGAGGTCTCTCCCTCCTTAAGTTTGCCCGGAATTGCGTTACGGCTAGAGGAGCAGGAAACCGGAGCGGAAATCCAACGACGAGAAAGAGAAGGAGAAAAGAGAGAAGAAACGGTACTCGAGGTCATTCTCCGCGCGAGGACCGCGAGGTCGTTTCCACGCGCGTGCTGCGCGATAAGCGTCTATCTCGATGTCACAGGGAGCGAAACGCGCGTGTCGATCTGAGCTGGTGCGCGATCTCGCTGAGAGCGCGCGCATTCCCTGCGTTGCGGCTCGCTTTAACAGTGATTCCTTCGCGATGTGCAGGCGCGTCGCGTTATATGAGGCAAAGCGGAATTAATGCACCGTAAGACGCATTACGTGCTTCCGTCTGCACGTAATGCGGCAGATAACGCTTCGGACGTGCTACGCGCGCCCCGCGTCATACGTATAATGCGATGCAGTAGCTCAAAGCGTCATCCGCAATTGCGTGTCGCGATAGCGAATCGATCAAAACGCCCGGAGCTGAATAATTCGCGAAATCCTGCGATTTCGTCGTCCTCTCCCACCGCCCGTCCCAGAATTCCCAATGTGTTCGAGAAATTTGTGTATTCAGGCCATGATAGTGTAATGCGCTTAATTGGCTCGCCTATTAAGGATGCGGTTAATGCATATGCGGGATGCGCCGCGAAATGGGATGTGTGCGAATCGTAAATTTTACTTGCGAGAGAGAGAGAGAGAGAGAGAGCGTCTCCCGCGCGTGTTTCATTACGCGCGCGTATCCGTATTAAAATTCACATCGAAATCGGAAGTATCAAAATTATTTCGCTTTTTAATGCGCCACTGGGCGCGACGAGCTGGAATTTCCTAAAATACCAACCGGTGTCTCGTTTTTTTTGTTTCAGAAGTGGAGCGCCCGAGGCAGGGTCGAGGTAAGTGGTCGTGAAACACGGTATTTCGTTTCGCGTGAATTAATAATGAACGATTCAATAACGCGATAGTACATTGATACACGGTTCACATATGATACCTCTTTAATCCGCTATCATCGTGTCCTCTTATCGGATCGCTGAAAATCGACTGAATAAATCATTTTAAATGTTGAAAATGTGGAGGAGCGAGCTGAAAAACTCGCCGAAAGTTCGCGAAATTTCTGCCCGAATCGCGCCGGGGGACGTCCTCGAGGACGGCTTTTTGTTATCCGTCGGAATCAAAATTCGGAATGGAGCGAGACGACGGCTGCCTTCGATATTTTTTTACACGCAAGAAAAAAACATCGTCCCTGAATTGGCCGAAGAATCGCCGGTTAAAAAAGGGCATCCGGTGGCTCTGGGACACGCTGTATACCCATCCTCCCCCTTTCCCTCGATCAACGCCAATGAGCAGCCCGCTGTCTGACTATTGATCGGGATGTTCCACTGGCGTGGCGCTCCTATTAAACGTCATATGGCTGCTGCTGTTTTTGCACTCTTACGTTATGCAGCAGTCGGCGGAGGTTTCGTGTTTGTTTACACGCGTGTGCAACGCAACTACATTATGTTGCCGACAAATAAATTAAAAAACAAAAAAAAAATCGCCCGGCTATGTAAATATTAACTCTTATGATATATTTAATGTGATGTCATATTTAATATCTTTTATGAATGCGCGTGCATTAATGTTTACAAGATATTAGCGTTTCTTGCTTTGTTAGGATTAAAATGAACACCCATGAAAGAAAGGGATTGCTGTGGAGGTTTTCAAATCGTGCTCGGGGTCACGAGAGTAGGAATATACAGTTCCGCGGAAAGAAATCCGGATTGAAAGAGAGATAGAGAGAGAGGGAGGGAGAGAGAGAGAGAGAGAGAGAAAGACAGATGACGATCTCGCGTCGAGACAGATCGATTTTAGTGTTTGTAATTAAAGGTGCCAGTAATTCGATGTGTCGTATGAGTGCACGCGAATCTTCGTGATAGCGAATACATATTCATGATTTTTGAGCGCGGAAAATATGATTTTGCGACAAAATGAAAATTCATGAGAACTGGTCGAACGCCCGCGGGACACGTAGACGACTCTATATGTCTGCGATGTATTTACCGACATTTGACCTCGATGCATCAACTAAATAACGTTTGTCTATATGTGTCTATATACATTCGCCTTACACAGGATGGATCATATTTAAAGTAGGCTAATAAATAGTTTCCTGAAACCTTCATTTGCATCCCATTAATATAAATTAACAATTACCGCACAGTCATGGGAAATAACGCGACGAATATTTTCACAGCGGGCAGCGTGCATTTTTTTGACGAAGCAAAGTCCGAAAATAAGAGAGAGAGAGAGAGAGAAGCAAGATTTTTTTCTCCGAATATATACGCAGTATAAATATACAATCGACGCGATATTAGGTCGCAATAATGAAAATACCGATGCGAAAGGTCGTGGTTAAAGCGACAATCGATAAAATAAATATATCAGGCATTATATATTTCATGAGCTCTCAACAAGAAGAAGCGGTTTAAAACCGCGGAATTTCCCTCCCCCGACACGCGGAACTTTTATATTACTTCACTTTCTTGCTATTTACGAAAGAAATTCTCCTCTGATGGCAACATTCGTCATCGTTAGCCGCGTTACACGGAATTACGGCGGGATGAAAAACACAATGCTTCCGCCGGCATTTGCATACGGCACGGTAATATTCTTTGTTTTTAAATGACGAAAGGATACGATAACGTTACTGTACGATGCAGCGAGGCGAGCGTTCTCCGCTTTTTTCATCGCCTCGACTCGCAATCAGACATTTCTCGCTTCCTACCCCGGGTTAGCGCAGAAATGCCGGCGATTAAGGATCGCTCGGAAGGCGGATCGCCGAGAATGACGGCAATAATAATGATTAAAACGCTAAATACGTTGGATACATTAACGCAACGGCCCGACTCGGCGTTCTTCTCTGCGCTCGTCTGCGCGGAATCTTCCGAAAATACCGTTACTCCCTTAGGTCTGCCGCGCTTATTGTTTCGAACTCGACGGAGCGCAAATTACAGGCCGATGCTTAACAGTCATTAAGCGTGCACTTGGAAAAAGCGTTCTCGAGCGAAATCGGCGTGATGGAGCTGCGCGGAAGTTTGGCGAACTTCACGACAGAAAGAGGTGGTCGTGAGAGAAACTCGCGTGCCGCTCCGACAATGTGATCTTACTGCGCGCCTCATTCCGTTACCGAGATAATCGTTAGAATTTACTTTCAGTTATGAACTCGAAGACGGGGCTCTTCGAGTCGATCACCGGCTGAATCGTGGCCGCGTGCTGTTTGCATTTCAACGGGCGCGCGCTGATCTCCTTGTACGAATCGATGAAATTTCGTATGTTTACGCTGCGTAACTTCCATTAGTAAAGTGACTATCGTTCGTGCAGAGGCACCGACACTCTCGGCGCCGCGGCGGAACGCGAGGGGATAAAAAATAGCAGCGATTTTATTCGAGATTTTTTGCCCGATTCGCTGAATTCAATCTAGCAATTCTGCGAATCTTCACATGTGTATATTTGTCTTAATGTATTTTTATTTCGTGTGTTATTGCGTTACATTTCCTGCCACGAACCAGCTCTCCGTTGATTTTACCGAATATCCCGTGCGCAAAAAAAAAAGAATACAAATTTAACAACTTGGTGGTGTTAAAATAAATTTAAAATACATACAATATTACGGTATTGCAGCTATCACGTAGCGAAGCGAAAATATCGGAAATCTAAACCGAGAGATTCGCGAGGGAGTATCTCACTTTCTCTCTCTCTCTCTCTCTCTCTTACTCACGCGCGATATTAGAAATTCTGGAACAAGTTTAGAATCCGAGACATTGGGATTTCTGGATCAAAGTAGAAAAGATTATAGGATGACGGACGAATGGAATGAGGAGAGAGATGGAAAACGAGAAAACCGCGGGGGGGGAGGGGGGACGTGAACGTAAAGGAGCGTAGGAAAGTAGAAGAGGTAGGTCAGGTCAGGCCAAATGTGAGAGGGCAGATATTGATTTCGCGATTAGCGGTCGGGGGAAATTTACAGGGGAAGGGAATGCCGATCCTTTTCTGTCCAAACTTAATGCAATCGCGCGCTTTTTTCCTCTCGTTATTTCGCCGCCCGTGAATAATGATACGAGTACCTTTCTCGTCGCTCGACTAATAATTATATCAGCCCGGCGAGAGAATGCGGCAGCGCGCGCGAGGGAACGCAAAATTCCTCTCGTCCTTTCACAGTCGGGTCGCAAGAGAGATAGATAGAGAGAGAGAGAGAGAGAGAGAAGCGTATCAAAAGGACGATCCTGATCGCTCATGCGTGCTTTCCGCATCGACGGCTTCCCTCTACTCCGTCTCTCCCCTTGATTGCCCGCAGGAAATACTTATCCTGCTATCTCTCGCCGTTTTTTCTTCCGTCTCTCACGACCCGCCGAACTCGCGAGTCCTTCGCACGTGCCGCGGAAAAATCGGCCCGTATTTACGGCGAATCGACGGGAAGTATTATACAATTTACTACCCCTCCCCTCCTCTCTCCCTCTCTCTTTCTCTCTCGTTTTGACTCAATATACGCGACGATCGTTGTTTCACCCGGCCTCCACTTATCCGGACAACTTGGCGTGTTATTTTAGCGCGGTGTGAAAGGTTTATTTCCGCGGCGTGTCCGCCCCGAAACTTAAACGTCAATTTCATTCGCCGATAGATTGTTTTTGACGCTCTCGTATCCCCCGGTGGATTACTCTCGAAGTGATGCCGCGTTCTGCGGGGATAGATCAATGTATTTGCGGGGGCTACTAAATCACGAACGCGTTCTGCGCTTCGTGGCTTTGATTCCTGCCAATTGCAAAGACGTGTCGTGTAGTGGAGAACTCAATAGCGCGCGCGCGCGTCAGTGGCTCTCAATATTGTCGCGCGGCCGGCGTGTGTTTTCACTTTTCCGAGGTGTACGCTTGTGAAATCACGCGGATTCAACGTTTCGCCGCCGCGCTCGATAGCCCGGCTTAATCAACGTTTAAAGATTTAAAAACTGAAAGGGTCAATTGGAGTTGCACGGGCGCGCACACACGCGCAAGCACACACGAGCGAGCTGAATCGCGCGGTCGCGGAATGCACTCCGATTCTGGGAGGGCATTTTCGAATTACGCCACCCATCCGTTCCTTCGTTTCGTGACTTTCCAACGTAAACATTCCGGACTTCTATGGAGAACGTGGGAAAGGATTGAACAATGCGCGCACAGTGGAAAATCCAATACCGAAGGCATCGCGCAGGCACGATCGCCTGGAACAACTCCGGAAGTAACTGCGGTATTCCCGGCTTTCTCCGTTTCTGCTGCTCTCGCTGATGAGGAATCTCCGATGTAGCGTATGTAAAAAAGAGAAAGAGAGAGAGAACGAGAGCTGGTCTGTTTCGCGAGGAGTCGAGCGTAAATTTGATTTTTCGAGGAGCGGAAAACGAGCCGAGACAAACGCGAAGAAGCGAGTCCCGTAATAGTCGCGGAACGAGATCAAATCTGACTGAGAAAGCCCCATGAAGCGTAATAACGCGAGTTCGCGTCGCGAAAGGAAAGGATTACGATAATTTTGCACGAGCGATTTCTATCTATCTCTCTCTCTCTCTCTCTCTCTCTCTCCCTCCCTTTCTTCAGCTTTCTTTAATTAAAGAGTCGTTCGAAGACCGCTGCGTGTCGGGCTGCACATGAAAATTCGTGCCCACCCGTTTGATTCCGCGCGTGCTCGCGCGACTTCTCGCGAGGAAAAGCGAAGGAAAGCGCGGTCCTCGAGGTGCTTCGGAGCTTCGCACATTTTTCGAGCGAGGAAATCGTATTACCCCTGGATTCTCGTCCATCTCGTCGTCGTCGAATTGCCGAAGGGGGGGGGGACACTTTCGGTACGTCGTGCAATGTAATTAGGTAACCAGGCACGTAGGTGTCCCAGGACG